TGTGTGTGTGTGTGTGTGTGTGTGTGTGTGTGTGTGTGTGTGGTCCAGATGTGGTAGAGCCCAAGTGCCTAGAAGGTGATACTGAGGAAAAGGACATTGTGGATCCTCCCTGGAGAACAGGGAACAGCTTGGCCCACCAGTGGCAGTACTTTTGTGCCCCTTATTGCCACCAGTGGCCAAAGATTCAGACATCCTCACCACTGTCAGCTAGAGAACCCACAGCTCTGTGCTGCCTGCCTCGTGGCTCTGGTGCAGGGTGAGGAGGGCTCACTTCCTTAGGTAGAAACACTATCCGCTTCGGTTCTCTCAGTACCACTGCCCCTCCTTTCCTCCTCTGGAAACAGCATGCAAGGCTGATTCCCAGTCACATGTGCTGGGCTGCAGGGCAGAGAAATTGCACATCGATGGCTGTAGGATATTGCTCTTGCTATTCTGCCCCCTTAACAGTCACTCTTATATGGCAACATGTTGAGCTGGAGGCTAGGACAAGCAAGCTACTTCCAGTGTCTTGCTGAGGATCTCCTGGGGGCTGCCACTATGTCAGGGTTTGCCATCACAGTTGGCCAACGCACACTGCATCCAACCCAAGGAGACTCCTGTAGGACGTCCTGTTAGGCATGTAGATGACCCCCTGTGAAACTGGCAGCTGAAAGGACTGCAGAGTCTCTCAGGAGCCCGGTTCCCAACCACAAAACCTTTTGTCTTCCACAGCCGAGCCAGTTTCACCACTTGAGCTTTCTTGGGGCAAATGTCATGAGCTGGGAGGGAGTTACCTGTCCAGAGGGGCCACTCTAACATGTTCTTTGTCCTTTGTAGACACATTCTCAGACCTCACCATGGCACGGCAAGGATATCCCCGTATGGCTTTCTCTGCCTGCTTTGGGGGCATCATCTTCAGTATCCTTTTAAGCTTGATCTGCATTGGACAACCTCTTCATCTGAGGCAGAGCAGCCTTATAGACAGACTGGGTGGGGCTACAGGAATCTTGGTTTCTATGCCCAGCCCTGTCACAGACCTAAATGACTTTACCCACCCATCAAGGTTATTATAAGGTTTAATTAGTTAATATTTAT